TCTTAACAGGTAGCCATGATACTTGTGTATATCCTATGTGATTAAAATGTACCAAAGTTTGCTGTTAGGAATACCACGTGAAGGACATAGGATCATAGCCTCGTATGCAGGGTACTCTAATCATCAAAGGTTGAAAACAAGCCATTTTAAAGCAATGATTGGTGTTATGTGTATGTTAACTTCCTTGAATGCATCTAGTCTACAACATTTTTGTTGTTCTACATTGATCAAAATATGCCTGCAGTTAAATTGGTGAAGTGTGCCAATAAATGTTTGTATTAGTAAGGGTGTTTGTCACTGTTTTCAGCCTCTCAGTCCATTGAGAACAGGTAGTTTTAATGATGATAATGGGATGCAGAGTGCATCAAATTCTCTCTGTAATTCACCCGGAGTTATGGGAGCAGAGACAAGGAAATAATATTTTGTTAAGACAATAAATGTAGACAGTGTCAGAAACTAAATATTTAGAGCTCTGGCCTAGTCCCAAACAACGTCTCTGTGTTGCTAATGGATAGCTCCTTCAGGGCTTTGTCTGCACTGCCAAAGAATGACAATTGAAGAGAAAATAGAAGTACGAACAAGCTCATCCACTTATGTAAAGATGATTTGGCAAAGAATGGCCGAATAGGTATGTTTTCCTTCTAGAAATATGAATAAAGGTGTCTGACAAAGACAGAATCCCCACACAATCTGTCTAATGCCGAGAAACTGCATTAAATAGTTCAGACCACGGATCTCTAAAATCTAACAGTCTTTCAGGTTAATTAGAAATTCATAAAATCAGAGTCCCAAATTTCTACACAGGGCTTTAATTTTCTTTCTCCACCCCAGTCATACCATCTCTAACTTCGCAGACACATCAAGGAGCTCTCAAAAGCTGAAGGACTGGTAACAGCTTCTCATAAGATCCTCTTCTCAAAGAAGGACGGAGCAGCTTTGTCCCTTTAGGGTACAGCCGGAGCATATTGTGTACTGTTTTCACTTATTGTCAGTAAAACAAAGGTCTCATAGCAGTGTACAGATCAATGGAAAATTCCCTGTTTTCAGGGGTGAGTTGGTCTCTGGAATGATTCAACCAGAGATTGCTTAAGTAGGAAAATTTCTTCCAAAATTGCTGATCTTTTATTAAAGAAATGCTGGCAGCTATCTCTTCAAGAAACAGAAACATCAGATGTTAAGGCAAATAGCTTGATTTGCATTGAATAGTGCTACCTTTTGAAACACACCACAACAAAATAAACTGACATTGTGGTTGTTGATAATTCAGAGCAGCTTCGGGGAAGAACATGTCTACAGTAAAAATGTTAACCAAAATGTTATTATTAAATGATGAAAGCAAAGTTACTGAGTTGTTGATCCTGCAAAAGCTATAAGCTTTGTAATCTGCACAGAGGGCTATGCAGACATGAACATCTGCAGGTTTTGGACCTGCCAGGGGTAAATCAAGGCAGTTGTTGGGTATTGCCAGGTTATAGGTAACATTCACCATATGGTGAACCATATAGCTGACATGGTAAAAGACAGAATTGTTACTTGTGAAACAAATTTAGTTGACAAAATTAAAGTTCTCTGAGTTAAGAAAAATAATAGGATTTTCAAACATAAGCAGCATGTTGCTATGTGCAACTCCTATTTATACATCTACCTATGTGTGCTATATTTTATTTTAAACTATACATTACCTAAACATTTATACTCATTAGATAGTAGGTGCATTTTACCAGCAACATTATACTAGCTGGCCTTAGGTGACTCTCCAGAGAATTTTGTAATATTCACAGCTGTCAGGTGTTTTAGGCTATCTGGTATTTTACAGTGTCTGTCGCCATTTAACACATGCTTGAAAACAATAGCTTTTGCTCTCAGTTAAACAGCAGTTGTATTTTCAATTGATATGAACCAATATCTTTGGAATTACAGAGAAAAAACACCTGTATTATCAAAGAATCATAGAACAGGTTTTGTTTGGAAGGAATCTTTGAGACCATCTCATTCCAACCCCCCCTTCCACAGACAGGGACACCTGCTAGAACAGTTTGCTCCTGGCATATTACATGGCATACAGTAGATTGCAAAGTGAATTTAAATGCTATTCTCTCCAAACAAATGCCTTTTAGTTCAAACATTTGACACAATATACTCATTTAAGGTATCTGACACCAGGGCAAGTCTTAATTCCAAAATGTAAATCTACAAAGTTTAGTGTGAAGCATTTCTGCTGTTATTTATTCCAAAGAAAGCTATCTCAGTAGAGCAAAGTTAAGCAAAACATGTGAATTACTTCCTTTTTTAATACCACACATAATTCATATTTGAGACAGATTGCTGAACAACATAATTGAACTGAAGAGCTCTGGAGGATTCATAAAAGAAATGCATGAGACCTTCCACAGTTACATTAGATATGTAGCATTTGCATAAACCTGCACGCTCAAAGATCATGCACTGCTTGAAATTCAGAATACCTTTCTCCTAAGCTGGTTATTTCATAGCTGATAGTTCAGAAGTAAAAATATGTTGTTTTCAAGAGCTGACTTTTCAAATATCCTAAAATATTTGGTTAACTAATAGAACCTCATACAATCCTCTCTGTTATTCAGCCAACATATAAATTTAGAGCAATGAGGACTAAGATGGAGGGGTAGCACTGAAATGAAAGCCATGAAGCTAAAAATCCTCATCTCGGATCTGAATGCAACAGCTGGCGAAATTCTGATTCTTTGACATAAACTTCCAAATTCTTTTACTTCTGTAAGACCAGGTGATTTTTATGAACTTTTGATTTTGTTCATAATTTTACACATTTCAATTCTTATGTCTTTCTTACAGTATTTGTATTACAAATAATGCAAGTACTCAAAAACCAAACTCCTGATCCCTTAACTGAGATGAAAGGTTGCCATGAATTTAGGTTGGAATTGCAAGCATGTTTCCACACCAAGCACCCTCAAAATACTTACATGTTGGGCGTGATACGTATGGAGCTAAGGCCTTATGCAACTCTAGTAATTTTGTAAGAATTATCTACTCTGTTGATTTAAAACAGTGGAAAATGTGGTTTTTCCATCAAAACAGGAATACAGCTAACTGGTTTTCCTCTGTGAGAAACCCTCTGTGCACTGCTTTTTAAAACAGTTGATTTAAATAATGGTATCAGGTCCTACAAAACAAATGTCTTAAGAGAAAATTTGTATATGTAAACATCTTCATATAATACCATGTCTTACATTACGTTCCATACATTAACATTCTATAAATTTATGTAGCTCATTATTATCTACTTCAGCATGTGCAACCAAAATCTAAACACTGCTCAGCATTCCTTCTGCCACAATCAAGCCATTACAAGCTAAACTTGTGCATTTACTGTTGTATTTTCAGTTTAAAGGTTATTATTTCTTTGGTAATTGAGTTTTACTGGTTTTGCACAATTTGCATTAATTACAGTAATTAATAGTAATATTATTCTGCCAAGTATATCGCCTCTTGTGTACCCGAAAGTTGAGCGAGTGATAATTCATCGCAAGCATTGGAAAGGACAGATAATAGAATATGAATAGCTTATAAAAAAACTGGTCTTAAGTTTTTCAGCGATAAATTTTAATGGGGACAAATAATTAGAGCAATTACTGCAGCAAAAAGGGTTTTAAAATTCCATTTGCTTCTGCCTTCCACATTGAAAAATAATTTAATTTTTCCATAAACCATAATACTTTGACTGCACGAGATCTGTATTGAATACTGGTAGATGGAGCTAGAATTGGAGAGACGTGTTTTCCATATATTTTTTTCTCTATGGTGTGTTTGACAGCACTTATCAAAATGCTCTTGTGTGCAGTGAGATGGAAGATATTTCCTAAAACCCAGCAAACTTTTTGACCATATCCCCACAGCAAAGTTGCCTCTGTAGTATAGTCAGATCCACACCTGAAAACATTTTTACTTTTTTTGCTTTTTTACTCTCTAAGGCATCTCTGTCTCATTTTCAATTTTATAACATGAAAAGAGAGAGACTAATTGGAATATTTGGCTTTTGAGAGTACTGTGGGAGGGAAGAGGAATGTTGAAAAAAATTGAAAATGGAACATATTAAGCTGATTAAGAAAAACAGAATGTGGCTAATAGTAGTTAAAGGGGGCAGACAGTGAGGTAAATTAGACACTCATAGACAGTCAGGATTTTCAGGAGTCAATGAAACTTGAATTGAAGTTACCCATGCAAGTTTGTTGATGATGTTTTGGGGAGCAGAATATACTACCCAGGGAAACAGAGAGTCTATGAAATGCTATTAATTCAAAGAATTCTTTGTTAAGTCTTCTCCACACCTTCTCTAGAATTTTTTAAGCTGCTACATGGTAGACTATGTCAGGAGAATTTAGGTCTCTTGAATATATTTTTCTATTACTTTTCAGTTATTCGGTTATAAAGTCTTAATAGTATCTTGGTAGCTGTGTTTCATTTTCTTGGTTTTTTTGATGGGTTCGTTCTGCAGTTTTTAAATATTTAAACAAAAGATCACACCTTGGAAATATTTTATGTGATTGTTTCATTCCTTTCAGGAGAAAAACTACTGTATGTAAAAATTTTGTGGCTCTGAATCTGGCAGCTAGAGCCAAGCATGATGGGAGCAGGTGCTCTGCAGGCTTCACCCTACAGCTCTGCCAACAGAGCTCACTTCAGTCCAGCCAAGCTCTTGTCATCTTATTACTGGCTGTCTCCTGGGCAGCCTGGCAACTGGACCAGCTTTCTTTTATGTTGATAAAGAGCAAATTGGACTAGATTGCAGCTATTTAATTCATTTCACTTCTGAAACACATGCACCTGGGTATTGTCACGGCCCCAAGGGCAGCGGTCGGCTTTCAGTGCCCTGACCAGCTTCACCTGCCCCTGGCTGGCACCTCCACTCCCTTCCTTTCCATATGAGCTTAGATCTGCTTCCCTGGTCTCTGTCATACATGTGCCCTTCTCTGTTTCCTATATAGATCATGTGGCCTGTCCTCCCTGCTCCTGCTCTGTGGAGTGGTGCCAACTAGTGCTGCACTTGCCTCTGGCTCCTGCTCATCTTCCTGCATAGAGTTGCCTTGCTTCTCATGCTCCTTGAGAGGTATGTCTACAGAGATTCCAGAACTTTGCAGTTGTATACAGAAAGCTCAGAAATGCTAGAGAACTTAAACAGACATCATTTTGATGTAGAAAAGTGGAAGACACTTCCTATAGATAAGTAGTTATAGCATTTTATTTACTTTGTAACCCCTTAGGTAACCCCTTAGGTTACCCCTTTCGAATACATAAGCTTAAGTGACCAACTCAGCAATATGAAAAAGCCATGTGGCTCAGGGCAGAAATTCAGTCATAATCCCCTTGTTGCACATCTGCTCAGTGAAGTGGATTCATATGAGAAAACAGGCAATTAAAACTTGTTAGTGTTGATTTTATAGGTGATACTGAGAGTTCGTGCAATATGTGTCCAGTTGAAGTTTTCTAGTATTTGCATCTATTCAGAAAACAGGCATGGAAGGAAAAACATTTATATCATATTTGGTCACGTTTCAGTGCCTTTACTGTAAAATAAATGCAACTACTCTTTCCTCCTCAAACACTTGTGAAATCTAAAAACAACAAAAAAAAGCAACTCTTAGAAGAAAACTATCTTAAGTACTTGCTGTTAAGATAAGCTCACATCTGTATTTTGACAAAGGACATGGTCTCTAACTAATATATGTTCACATGGTCTGTCTCCTCTTTCTCCAGCAACACTGGCTTCCTGCAGCATGGTTCCTTTAAACTCAGTATATTTTGTGCTTAGCTTTTAATTATACTCTCAAGATGTTAAAAACCTTGGAATCTAAATATGCAAGTTTTGCACAGTATTAAAAAACCCCGTGTGCTCAAGAAGGAATCAAAGAATAGGGCAGTACTCACGGCCAATAGTTTGGGCATTATTATATGTCCTGTTAGTCTCACGTTCTGGTGTGCTTAGTCCTTGCAGCAAAAAGAAAATGGCAAAATAAAACTAATGTTTATGTGGCCTTACTATATCCCTTCTTTCAATATCACTGGACAGACTGGTGCTTCTTAAACTGAATTCACGTTAATTTTCTGTGAAGTTGTGTATTATCTGTTTAAGAAAACCCAGCCGGAAATCTCAAGTTGTAGCAATTTCACACCTCCTCCCCCAGACCAAAGTTTGTTAATCAGCACAAAAGCAATGTTTCCAAACTCAAGTGTTCAGAAGTGCTCTGTGCAGAGTCTCTATCAGGTGTTCATCACGGGAGGTGCCCCAGTGATATTTCTTAACTAGGTACTTTTAAACCATTCTATTTTGAAATCTCTTACCATTATTCATTTAATTTCTGACAGTGTAGTTTACTGCAGTTCATATGAACCAGTGCCAAAATAGATGTAAATGTACTCAATTCTTTTTGTCTTAATATCCTCTTGAAGATTTCATTTTTAATCAAAACTATCCTTCCTAAACCTCATCTACCTTCCATTTCTTTCCCCAGAGGCTTCATTTGAGGCCCATTGAACTCAAAGGGAACTGTTTCACTGTATTGTAAAGGCTTTGAATCAGCTTTCAATACTACGTTTCATGTAGAAAAACAAAAGCCAGTAACTTTTCCTTTTTTTTTTTTTTTTTTAAAAAAGGCCCACACTTGCTTTGAATAACGTGCATTCATTGAAACCATACAATGCCTTGTTGAATTCAGTTGTATGTTGGGTAATGGAAAATAATTATTTCTTACAGGTCAGAAAACAATCTTCAGTGGATGTCTGCTGCTCTGTGTTGAACTGTTAAATGTTAAATACAGTAATTTTTATAGTGTAGCAGCATTTTTTGTAAACGAGGAAAACTATTTTACAGCATGAGGGCTTTTGTTCTGTTTTTGCAAAAAGAACCCTCAGAATTACTTATAGACCCTGAGGGGGAAAAATCTGGCACTTGTAATGTCTTAAAACCCCCTATGCTGTAGTACAGTCCCTGTTGCAGTACAGAGGATCTGCAGTTGTTTGGGCCACAAATGGTTAACTTGGAGCAGCTGTCCATGGTGGAACCCTGCTTCCATAGGGAATGTCCTGCATGTAGAATCAGGAGTAAATACATTTGAATACTTTCCTTCTTGTAGCATTTCTCTGTCCCCAAGTATGGTCCAGGCACACGTTGCAGACTAAATTGGAGTCAACACATCTCAGGCAATTCCAGCAAGTCATTTTTATCAGATATGTTTTGCTTATAAGAGCAAGTACTGTTTTATAAGCAACCACATTCTAAGAAGAAATGAGTGAAATATAGGTTTAGGTTCTTCTTCAGTTGCCAAACTGACCCATTATCAGATAGGTGACAACTTTAGATGCCATTAAATTAGAATTTGTCAGATACTTCATAGAGTTTTCTATTTACAAGTCTTATGTATGTAGGCCTTTTCAGTTTCCTCAAAGTACTCACATTCTTTTAAGATTAACTTTTACAAATACATTTTCCTCTTCTTTTGTAAATTGTTTGTTTTAACAAATAACTAGTGATGTTCATTGCTGGTATCATGGGATATTGATTTTGCTTTTGGAGTGGTTTACTCAGGTTTTTTTAATACTAGAAAAAATATTAATGTCTGAAAACTTCTATTACAAGTTCTTTCCTTAAATGAATGATTGAAAATAACAAAAAAATCACTAGTGTTTTGGGTAACCATTGTTACTCTCAACATTGCTGAAGTGCACAGTATCAAGAATATGGACAATACGGAATCATCTGTGCCTGTAAACACCGGCAAGTTCTACTAGTGCCTTCAGATCACCTTCTGGTTTAATAAAAGTTAACTTGGAACAAATACCTTGGGAAGAAAAAAGCAATCAATACAGTTGACCTCTGTGTAATTTCATTTCATGATGACTTCTTATTCCTTCAGTTCTAACTATGCAGTTAACAGAAAAAAGAAGTAAAGGGCAATCGGTTTCCTGCCCATAACCCAGGGGTCAGAATTTCAGGCAAATTAGATAATGACCAAAGTCCCTAAAGCAGAACCACAGTAAAAATGGAATTTAAGAACTAATAAAAGACATTTATAAAATTATGTGCAGGAACTGAAAAAAACAGCATTCTTTCAATTAGACACTATTAGAAGACATAAATGACCAAGTAATCCCCTTGGGGAAACAAAGTCTGCAGTCTGGGTTTGAAACAGTCACATTTGCCCACACATGTAGTTTTGAATTATAGATTTTAAAATCACAATCCAAGATCAAGGAAGGAGTATTTTTGTTTCTTGGAGCTACAAGCCCTGTGCACTGGATAATGTCCTTGTAGAGGGTAAGCAGAGATAAACACAATTGCTTAACTGGGGTCCTCAGCTTTAAGTTATACAATATGGCAACAGAATGATGGTAAAATTACAGTATATTTCTTACTTGGCTGGTTTTCTTGTATGTGGTTTTCTGGTTTTGTTTTTTTGGGGGGGGGGTGTTTTGGTCTTTTTTGAGGGGGGGAGAGGGAGTGGAGAGGACGCTCTCGTGTTTATTGTCATGAATATGTTCCCTTTTGTGTGATTTCTAGGGTTTACATTGCAAGGAATAACTGGTAGCAAACTTGTTAAGTAACAGTAAAGTGACAGAAAACAAGGGTATGACCACATGGGCGTAAGCTTGATTTTTTTTTTTTTTTTAAGTGAAGTTTCAGAAAATGTGTATGGTACAAAAAGCCTAATATTCTGGTTACATAACTATCTGTGATTCGGTTTATTACAGCAGACTTAATGGGATCAGAATAGCATTTGTTTGCAGAATAATATGATGTCTGGTCTAATAAATGACCTGGAGAAAGATGGTGTAAGTGTATTCAATTCTGACAGTTTTGTCGTGATTATGTGTCATGGCACTGCTATAGGACAAAGTTCAAACACACCGCCAGGGATGAATCTGATTATCCAGGCCCTAAATCGTTTCATTTAGATTCAGTTCAGAGATTGTTAAGAAATTCTAGGATGGGAGGTTTCTTTCACTTGAAGGTCCTTGTGGTTTATAGGACTGTGAAATATTGTCCAGTATGTCACAATAACCCCAAGTGAAGAAAAGTTGTGTTTAGCCCTAAACTCAGGTCCTACTGTGGGAAAAGAGACAAGGTGGAAGAGAGAAAAACAGCTCTATGCTGTTCTAAGGCAGAAATAAAGTCTTACTTGGTTTTTACTCTTCATCCACCACTCACTGACATCTGCACTGTCTAGAATAATACATTAACACTTGCATTTACTGCCTGAGCTGAGGACAATGCACTGTGGGAAGCTCACAGAACTTACTCAGCAATCAAGATGTATACCAAATATGGGGAAAGCAATTACATTATAATAATGCAATATAATAAATTAGGGTCATATTGACTCCAATGAATTTGAATAATTTAATACCTCTGAAAACCAATATCACACACCTATTGAAACATTCATTACAATAAATTGTTTAGGCTATATAAAAAGCTTATAATCCAGCATGAATATTAACAGCCTCTATTTCCCAGGCAGCTAGACAACAATTAGAACTGAAGATTTTGTATGTAATATAGAAATTACATTCTTAATGGTGGTAAATTTTTTATTGCAGTGAAGATGTAAAAAGCAGATATGTTCTGGCAATTATGAATTGCAGCAAGGTATAGTGTACAGAACAGTTTCTCCCTAAGTTAATAATATCATTAGCAATATTTTTTTGAGGTGTTGCAATGGTTTTTATAGCCTATTTCTAGAGGTTTTTTGCTTTAAAAGTAAACAAATAAGTAAGACGTCCACTGTTGGATCTAAGACAAAAAAGCAAGAATTAACAGTGGTAATATGGTTAATGACTTAAACACAGAGGTTTGTATTCAGTTGAGGTCTTTCATCAAAGTATTGTATTTCTAAGCGTCTTTCTTCTTTTTTTTTTTTTAATATGGTCTGCTTTACAGCCTGTCTTTGTGCAGTACAGCTACAGAGTGGCTCAGAGTTTGCTATTATACTCTAATAAAAAAATCAAATATGCTTTCTTCAAATTTCCTTAACTTTAGTTAGAAGTAAAAACAATATTTATTTCAAATATTCTAGTGCGTGACACTTCTGTAAAGTTATTGGCAGAGTTGTACTAAATAATTTTTTATTGTATTTTTAAGAATTTCTAGTGATAGATGGACAATAGTAGATCTTTCCCTCATTAGGCACTTCAGAAAATGTATCAGGATACTTAGTTCCCTTATTTCTTGACCACCCTTAATGGCTTTATAACTGCACATATTATAATGGTCAAAGGGTTGCCCTTTTCATTCCAGGAGTAGAAAAATGTTTAATATTGGTTCTATTTCAACTAGAGTTAGAGGGGAAAAATCGCTGTTGTTTCGCAGTTAGACATTAAGCCTTGGGCATTTGAGTGTTTGCTATGTATGGCTTGTTAATGCATGACAACAGAAAAATACATTCTGGATATAAAATTCACTTCCAGTATTGACTTATGGAAAGCATAGCAAAATGCAGTTCAAGGCATGAATCTTAGTTATTTTTTACGGCTGTACAACAGTTCAGTGCAGAGTATCAGAACAGCTGTAAAACTGTGAGCTCCATACATATCCCAGTAAGTGAAAGTGAGCACAGCTGATGCTCCTGAAATCCATAAAGAGTTTTGGAAACTCTGACAGTTTACAAAAGGAACATTACTTACAAATATACAACGTCTCTAAATGATTCCATTAGAAAAAAAAGGAAGAAGAAAAAGAAAAGCAACTAGAAAGATGTATCTGTCTCACTGCCTGGGTAGCTGGGCTATGCAGAAATCAGTCTTCATAATATTCATTTTAAGAACAGGTGACACTTATAGTTTGTTTTTACTGTTCAGGATGAAAATGCATAGAACAAGCCAGAAGAAAACATTTCTCAAATACGTGAAAAAGCGCACCTTTTTCATTAATTATTTATGAAGATTCAGGAATCTGCTCAGTGCTTTAAAATTACTGGGGAAAATACCTCCCAATAAAAATATCAGTCAGAATCTGATCTTCTGAATGATGCAGGTCATCACAGAGGGTGATCTAACAGGCTGTGGCTAAAGCAGTAGCTTTGTTGTATTTAAAGAGACAGATGTCCCAAAGGGAATGAACTCGATACTCTTCGTGCAAGAACCTGATGCTCTGGGTGCAAAAGGTTTTAGCCAATGAAATCTGTCAGTTCAAGCCGTTCTGTAAAGATATTGCCTTATAATGATAACATACTTAGGGAAATATAACTGAGCTAAATGAAGACTTTATTTTGCTATATTAGAGGAGTCATATAAATGGAAACAAAGAGGATGCATTGTGCTTTGTTTTTGTGGAATATGGCTTGGTGTTTTCCCAAAAATAGTGATGTCCCAGAAAAGTCAATTTTGTGTTGACGATTATTTCAGTAAAACAAGATCTCCTCAAGCACAAATTAAAGTTAAATAAAATTAAATCTGAATGCAATTTGATTAACACTTGTCAAGGAAAGGGAAAAAATAAAAAGAAAAATTTCTTCATTTACAGGAAGTACTAAACATATGGACAATGAGACAATTCTGGTAAATTAGCAGCCTGGTTAATTCATCAAGAATTCATCTCTTGGGTAATTGCTGAAACTGAAAATGTTGACAGCCTATTACTGAAGTCTCTGAAGGATCCTAATGTAGAGTTGAGGGATTTTTCTGTTAATCTGAATGACTCCCTAGAGTCAAAGAAAAGAATGTTGGCTGCCACCCTGTAGTTTGCCAGGAAAGTGTTCTTTGCCATTAAATTATAAGAAAATAAGGAAGAATTTTAATTTAGAAAAGGCTATGTTGACATTAGCCTGAGATGTAAGTTTCTAAGTAATGGGATGCTAGATATCTGCAATGTTTTGTCTTTTCAAAGTTAGACTCTCTGTCTGTTGCCAGGAATAATCACATGTATTTTTAATTTCTTTTTTTTTAAATGTATCTGTGAGTTAACTGCATGATAAAAAGTGCTCAGGTTGTGGAAAATGGGCCTCTGCAAAAGAAAGATCAGTAATGTGAAATATAGTTAATTCACTTTCTTATTATTACCATCTGTAATAAACAGCATCTACCACAGCTGTAGCAAATGTGGCAGACACTGTACAACTTAAAAAATGTTACAGGTGGGGGGTTTTGGTATTTTTTTATCTTTCATTGCTGCATGTTTGTTTTGTGCTCATCTAATTCTTTATGTTGTTGCTATATATCTGTTGGATTGTAATTCTGACAGTAAATGACAGTGTAGGAGCCAAACTGGAGTGCAATTTCAATTTCCAGATCCATAAGTAAAGTAGTTGTCAGAACAAAGTTTGAAAATTAATGTATTTTTCTATAAATAATGCAATTCTATCTTACAGTGTAATTTTCCACAGTATTAATCTTTAATGATCAATTATTTCCACATTTCTTTTAACCATAGTTCTACACAGGAAAAAGCCCCAAAATAAACAGTTACAAATGGTATCTGGTATTCCCACCTCCTGCATCACCATGTCCTTTCTTTTTCATCTTGCCATATGTCTTCTGTCTAGGAAGACATTTTATGGATTAAAAACAAACAAACCCCTAAAATCGGTAAATTGGAATTAAAAAATATGATTCGGTAGCACCTAGCATTGCAGATTAGATAAAAATTTCTTATATACTTGCATTACAGAACGGTCAGGTTCGAGAGACTAAAAAAACAGTAAGACTTTGTGTTAGGGTTTTTTTTCTCCTGAAGTCATTCACCCCACTGAAAAGTAGTCTCCCCAAGAGATCAATACTTTCCTCAGTGTGCTTGATTGACTTACCCTTCCAAACATAACCAGAAGAAAATAAAAACCACAGACAGCTTTCAAATCCAACTGGGCCATAAATGAGTCAACATGTCCATTAAGATACATTGACTTTCCATCTATTCACATCTATAGTAAATTCAGATTAAAACCAGGAAATTGTTAACTTTGTGCTGGGTGACACTAATTATACACCACACAGTAAGCTATTTTTACATAATATTTTCTGAAACTTCATTTTTAGTATTCTTGCCGCAAAACAAGTGTATCTTAGATGATTGAAAAAATTAGCATGTTACTAGGGAGAATACTACTAGTGAATTGAACATATAATGCTATTAGTTCATGGTTCTGAAACCTGTACTCATGGAAAAAAACTCAGAGATCTGACTATGCAAGAATTATTTCAAAACTTCAGTGATAATGTTCTGAGAACAACTGTGGGTTGCCAAGCCCACACGGTTCTTTCCTATTCCATGAGTTTTTTCCCATTCTCTGAGCACACCCAGCAAGACCTTACCCTTACAGAGGCACGCTGAGGACGTGGCTTTCCATCTAGTCAGAACTGGTGCTCTCTACACTTGCCACATTGGGTCCAAAATCCAAAAGCCATATGCATGTAACATGCAACATTAACAAATAGACATATTGCTCTCAGAAGGCCCTGGTAGGTAAAGAAAGAAAAAAAGTCTTCTGTAAACAGTTCTGAGCCTCAGCTCTTGACCACCTGCAGGTATTTCTGGTGTCTCTGTACCACTCATACAGATAATTAGAAGAACTCTTTGGTTGATTTCTCACATTGTAACCCGCAGTCATTCTGAACTATACATAGTCCTAAACACGATGCTGGAACCAAGTCTTGTTGCATAATCTGAGGTAGGATGTGTTCCCTCCCTTTTTAATGAAAGCTGGCTATCATAGCTGAATGGATAGTGATTAAATATAACATTCCATGAACTAACTAGTGAAGTGATTTCAAATGGCTTAATTCAAATGGTGAATTATTTAATTCCTAGAAAAATGAGTAATGAATTAGCTGTCTATATATGCTCAATTACCATCCAAAATTCAGAATAAGATCTTGTTAATGATTTCCTCAGGTCCTTGCTATTTGCTTTTAGCAAAGCAGTGAAATGAAAGTAATAATTTGAAATGGGTAGCACATACTCAAGTTGTCTGTGCCTTAATGCTGCTGCACCAAAATCTACTCTGATGTGAAGGAGAGGAAAGAAAACAGAGTGGGAAGAGGCAGATATGTCAACTGAGTGACATACATGAATGATGCAATGCTTTCCCAGTAAAACAATAACAAATAATATCTAGTAATTATTACTAACGTGTTACTAACAGAATAAAGTTCTTATGTTTTGCCTTATAGCTCATTATATTCTAACCCAGTGTGTTCTGAATAATGAACACAGAGGAGTAACTTACATAGATAGGTATGTTACTTATTTTGAACTTGATTTCAGGATGTTGATTGTTTTCTGTTTTGGGATGTGGTGGTTTAAGTGTAGATAATATTTCTTCCAAATAGTATACTATCTTAATTTTTATGGGGAAGAAACATTAAGAGTCAACAACTGTGATACAACATTGAGAGTATATAGATTTACTGAACTATGTTGGGCTTGGAAAGGTAGAGGGGAAAAGTACCACTTCTTCCTTGAAAGACAAGTATAATGTTAACTGTATGCATTGGGTTAGAACCTGTTGTGTTAAACCTGTAGCACTCTTTACTGAAAAAGCTTTTACAGTAACTTTATATATGTTACTGACTGTGCTATGAGTAGAAACACTACAGCTATCCATAAGCTGCTATCAGATAATCCATCTGCTTCATGCATATAAAAATCTTCAAATGAGAAAAGCCACACAGCTTTGAAATGAGAGGCAACATAACTCTTGCTTAACTGCCCTCTGTGGATTATCTGTTGCAGAATGCCTGCTAATGCAAGACTGTCAATCAATACTTAAATGGGGACATTAATTAGCTCAGAATAGCTACTCATTTTTGGTTGATTATTGTTCCAAATGTTTTATCTTCAGATAAATTATTCATAAATTATTATGGTCATCCTTTCTTTAGTTCTAAGGAATTAATAATACCTGACAAGTCACCAATCTTTTGAGTTTTCTTCATTGATCATTGTGCAGTGTTTTGTATTCCACCAGTTCATTTCACCTTTTCTTGAAGGACATGCATGGCAGGTCATTTTAAATAATCATTACACAGTAAATGCTTTACACTTGACAGTGTCAGCTTGAACACCTTACAGGATCGCTGTCATCTCACCGTGACGTGAGAGAGAGGTGATAAACTTCTTAAGTCTTCCTTAAGTGATATATTTTCTTGGATTTCTACTGTTAGTTACTTCAGCTTGTGCTATTACTTGAATCTGTAACAGTGTCACAGATACTTCAACTAAGGACTGAGAGTTGAGCCTCCAGGGAGAAAAAACTTAGTGAGTGCTCTGCGGTTTGAGATGATCAGAGAATCACGATCTGTGAGATAAGTAAAGGGCTAAGAGAATATGAGAAGGAAGCTTGTGAAATTAGGAAAAGGCTGGGGATAGGAAAATGAATAGGCACAGTTTGAGAAAAGATTAGATAGGTGACTGGTGAATTTCCATTGGGTGTCAGTGAAGATTCTACAGACTGAACATAAACTTGGAAAAGGTGTGCTCATTTTTGTATGTGAACCTGCTTTTACCTCGATTTTTCTGGTTTGGGAGGAAAAAAGGCATACAGGCATACCTAAATTTACACCAACGGTAATGAAATGTAATTTTTGGAAAATTAAGGAATGGCTTGATTCCCAAAGGAAAAAAGAACTGTGCTATAGAGAAGAAATGGCCCTATATCAGAGTATTTTGGGGGATTTGTTGTTTTATTAGCGAAATATTTTTTGATCAGGGATAAGTAAGTTGCTAGATGACACTGTACACTATCTTGCCTTGGTTGAACAGGGTAGATACTTTTCAGCGGACAGTCAATTTGTAAATGTTTTGTGAAATATCACAAAGGTGCACAGCATATTCTTGTAGGTCAAGAAACCAAATGAAATTTGGATCCAGTGGGATGGGATTTCAAACTTGTGTGTTTGCAGGACAAGTGCACTTCTTGAAGAAAAACAAGCAGTCTCTTGGAACAATCCTGCATTTAGGTCACTTGTAAAGAAGGTGCTCTACACTTAGTTCTAGAAGTAGATTGCATGTTGTTTTGTGGATAATGTTGCTGCCAGAAATACCAACCCTTATGCTACATTGCCAAAAGCGCTAATTGACTGTAAGTATGTTATTCTTCCTGGGATGTAGTGCTAACTCCTGTTACTGGTACCTAGGGAGGCTTGTTAAAAACTTTTCTTGACGTGACCACCTGCTGAGAGTTGATTTAGAACACTGTCACTTACTTTCAGTGCAGTCCAGTTTTGATGAGGACAAACAAAACACATGACAGGAGCAGTAAGGTACTGTCAGACTAACAGTAGCACTGCAGTGTATATTAGTTTTTGCATGGAAATCTTGATGTAATTTCTATTCAAAGAATGAATTTGCTTCCCCTGGGAAATCGTATATCCAAAATGTCTTTCACGGACTTTTGCACAGAAGTTGAAGTCATATTATATGCTTTAAAAGCAACCAGCACATTTGCAATTATTTCAAACGGAAAACATATTGAGAGCCTGCTGAAGTACAACTTTCTGTCCTTTGGGATTTAATTTGCTTAGAAACAAAACATTCCCCTGAAGATAAATAGCAAGAGGCATTGATTCTACTAACTGGAACAACGCTTCCAAATTAATTGAAAAAGACTTCCTAAAACTACTGCAACACTTCTACCAATTAAAAATATGTCCTGATTGGAAAGTTTGGTGCTCAAGAATTATAGTTACAGCACACTGAAAACTTATTGAATTAACTTTTAATTAAGCTATTTCATATCAAACTATTTTAATTAAGCTATTTTATATCAGGCTACTTTGTATCAAAGACAAATGCAGCATTACTTCAAAGAGTTCAGGCAGAACATGAAAATCATTAACATTTAAATAAAGATGTGCCATATGGTTTGGCAGAAACTGGAATACTCAGGCATGGGGGCAGCTTGCAGCTTCAGTATTTGGAGTCCATTACTCTAGAAGGAAAAAATGCTTGAGTCTTCAAAGACGTTGTCAAGTGGATATATTTAGTTTTATTTCATTAGGTAATCCAGTTCTAAATAATCACAAAGTACTTCAAATGTTAAAAATAAAGGTGGAGGGGAAGTTGGGGTTGATTACTGCTAACCACATTGGTAAATAGATCATGAAGGTATAAAATACAAAAATTTTAGACATAGTTTCTTGATTTTGGAAAAATCAAGGGTGGGAGAATCAGTAGAAATGAAAAAGGGAAAAGATGTGTGCTTTGAGAACTTGCCATTGTCTGTGTGGCAGTTCTATGCACTGGCTTCTGTCCTTCTGAATTCCAGGACATTCTTAGATACTAATGCAGTGATCAAAGCCAAAATCATCTGTGATTAGAAGATAAAAAGTGCTTGACTTTTCAAATGGGGCAGTACAGACTGTACCTTAGAATACATTTAAATCCTCATGAAATGCACATTAACAGGATGTGCTAGGACAGTTTCCAAATGAGGGAAAGTTCTATGTAAAGAGAAAGTAATAATCCTATACCTTGAAAAACATCTAAACCTGACTCGTGGACATTCAGCATGTGTACTAGGTGCTAACAAGTGTTTCAAGTGCAGTACAATTGCCATAGGCAAACCTATTTCCTCTGCATTCTCAATTCAGATTTTATGATGCTCATGCAAATTAGTAAGCATGGATTTCTCTGGTTTTGTTATAGAACAGTCATTTTCTCCCAGGACATGTTAGGCTGGGGTGAGGGTGGTCGCCTGCAATGGCTGGAGTTGTAAATTAGGAACTTCATTCTTTTATTGAGGAGCACAATTGAAAATGCAGTGTGGCTTGATTTGCTTAACTGTTTTATAATGCCTTCCAATTTTTCTGTAGCAAAAATGTTAAAACTAGAATTAATTATTCTGATGAAACCTACAATGAATTTTTTTTTTTTTACTTCCCGATTATTGTTTTAAGGGCAACTTCTTTTTTTTGTGTGCCTTTTTTCCCATACCAGAGCTAAATTTTTTGGAGTGTATAATTTGCTGCTACAGTAAAAGAGTAATTTCTTTAAATGAAAAATAAACTGAGGAGATGCAGAACTGTGTGATGTAACCAATAGCATTTATGTTCTGGGCAGTCATGTTGACGGCTCATGATTGAGGATAGGATGGCAGTTGAGGGGTCCCAAAATAAAAGTGATAATAGTCCTCAAAAATCAAACAGCTGTTTAAGGTACAGATTTACTTTGGGGTTGTTTTTATTTGGTGTTTGTTTGGTTGGTTGGTTTGTTTTTTGGGTTTTTTTGGTTTTTTTTTATATTATTATTGTTACTTTTAACTTGTGCACAGCTTTGCATTTGCAGGTCTTACCTGAAGTCTCCAAAGACAAAAGTACCAACATGCAGAGATTAAAACCAATTTTCCTGGTACTTCTGAACTGTCCGGAATTTGGAAGAACTGTAGATCTTATGAGACTCTCTGGTCTCGGGAAGTATGGGCAATTCAGATAAGCTTTGAATAAGCATCAAACATTTTGCTCCTTACTGCTTATCTTCCATTTCAAACTGAAATTTTTTAGGCTTATCTGTCACAACAAAAAGGGAAAGGAGGTGAAGTGCTATCATGGTCAAAAATTTGTGCAACTATCAAAAATAAGAGATTTCTCAGTTCTCTTAGATGTTCCCTGGTGCCTGCACCCTACGGCTAAAAACTGAAAGTAGAAAGAAGTTTGTGTGAATTTAACAAAAGCATTTAAAAATATCAGCTCTTATCTCCATAAGTGTTAGTCCGTGTGAGGAAAAGATAAAATTTCAATTAACTGGAGGTGAAATATTGGTCCAGTGTGTTTTCTTCCTTGTTTTTGATTGCTTTTTGTTTTCAGGACAGTTAAACATATTTAATAATAACAATCATCTGAATATTAAGTAATTATTTTGACGTCATCCTAAACTGAAGTATTTTCCCAACAGCTCTGCTTTGACATTTTGCAATTAGGAAATGCGACCAAATAGACATGTTGTCAGGAGGAAGTGCTGTAATATTTGGTTCTCAGGTAAGTTGCAGTAATGTTATTTCATGATGCTTCTTTCCTATATATATTTTTATAAAATTCTGTTAAAACAAATTATGAAGCATTTTCTTTGTTTTATTTTTTGGCATACCTCTCAGTTGTAGAGAATGTGTCCAAAAAACCCAAAAAGCACTATCACAATCAGAGTTACTTATCATCTTCAAAGAAGCAGTTTAAACACTTCAGTGATATTTATGGTAAAATTCTCTTGTGGTTGACATTTTGAGTTTTGTTTGCTGGGATTTTGTTTGTTTGGCTTAGAATTTTTTTTTCCTTCTACGGAAAGGTTTCCTTAATAACACAACAGGTAATTGAAACTCTGGCTGTTTATTGGTACTGATGATTTTCTATGAGTCTACTCACTTGATGAGATTACTTCCTTCCCAACAGTTTTGTTCATTGTAATTAGAATGGACTCAAACTGATCAATAACTTGTGACTTTTTTTAGTGTTCACTATTCCAAGTCATGTTAGCCCATGCTTCCAGGATGGTTCTTTTTCCATGTGTGCTGTAGAATCACAATTATGAATGGATAACTAGCATATTATACTAGATGGAAGGTTTTTTCAAAGAGGTCCATACTTAAAGATCGTCTGAAATTATACTAAAGTAAATGCCTTTGTTTTATGAAGTCCTCCTACAGATGTCTAGTGTCAAGTTTCACTACATAAAGAACCTACAGTATTTGTTACTTTATCTCGTTACATAGCTGTAGTAGTTTCAATTTCCATTTAATTTTAATTTTATTTCTTCTGGTTTGTTTTTATTTTATGTGGAACTGTCACTGTTGCTCTTAGCCTAATTTTCTCTTCCATACTGTGCCTCATCTTTTACATCCTAACTTCAACTCTTATGAAATCCAGTCAACAATCAGACAATGGAGTCATGAAGACAGTTAAATCCCTGTCAATAAACACTTTTAACTCATTGTTTTGGAAAAAAAAATTGGAGTATAAGGTCCTCTATGTAACCTTCATAGATTTTACAGTTACTACAATTATATTGTCTAATTTTCTAAATCTCTGAAATTACAAGGGTTAAAGTTGATTTTGTTACTATAAAGTTTTGAAATAATGATCCAAGGGATGTTTCAATAAGGAACAAACCTTAAATCTTTTGATACTCATCTGTATGTAACAAGTGTTATACTGAATATGATTAGTTCATTTTTGCTTATAGAAATTAGCATATTATTAAAAAATACACTGTGTTGCTTGCACTTGCTGTGGGAGCGTAATTTAAATCCCCATGATAAAGGCAAACTGCAGTAATATATTTATTATTACTTACATTATCAGAGAAGTTCTGGCCAAGAGTCAGTTGTTAAATTGCAGTATTAGCATTAATCAATCTCTCCCCCTTGTCCTATAAAAAAGTAGAAAACCAAAATGTTCTGATGTTAAGTTTAAATAGCAAAAAGTGAGAACTTCTGGAGGTTGAATTTCTTTACCCTTTTATTCTCAATGCAGTTATTTATACATTATTGTTAGGTTAGTCTTTCATCCGTCTGCAGTAAAATAAATAGAACAAAATGCTGCAGTCTTGCAGGTTTTCCAAACCGTCAATGACGTTTGCAGTTGAACCCTTCCAGTTTCTGCAACATTTTCTTCACTGTGGACATTGGCCACTATTCCAGTAGCAATTTTATCACGGCAAATAAGGACACAATGTAGCTGTTTTATGTATGCAGTAAAAGCTTACGCTGAGCACCTTCTACTGCAGTGTCATTGGGAGTTTAGGCTCATGATTCCCAGGGCTCTTTTTGATATCACTTCTTCCCAGTGCAGTTTCCTATCCCTAAAGAACATGAACTAATTTTTTAATATATATTCTTTTATTATGTATAAAGCTTTATATTTAACCAATAACAAAGATTAATGTTTTTTACTTGTGCCTAGTTTACCATCTAATAAAGATGGCTTTTCATCATCATTATTCCACTATATTAATCTTTGTCTCAATCTTTATGTTATGCAAACATGACAATTACTTATATATTTTCTTTGTAGTGGAAAAAGTCACTGGTCAGAGTATAAATTTGGCTATAATCAACATCTGAACTTGAAGGAACGTCTAATTAAAAGTAATATCAGTCTTCAGGGTCCTTGGTGTACTTGTGATATCCTAAAGCAAATATTTAGTTTGAGATATTTTTTGTCTCAATTGGTTTATTGCATATATTTGGATACCATGCCAAGAAATTCGTGTTTACAGTGGGACGATGTTAGTGATAGGGGTGTCATTGAGAAAGTTCTTCTAGTATAATGTGAAAGACAACTATCAAAAAGATTGTGCAGCTACTCTCTATTCAAAGTTTATTTTCTAACTGAATCCTCCTTAAATTTAAATGCTTATATCTAGTGTGAGATTTTTTCTGTACATGGTCCTTTCAGATGAAATTTGTAGTCGCTGGCTTATGTAAGTTACTTATTCCTCTCTAGAAAGTAATCAAAAACTGTCCAGACTTAGTTGTACATTTTAACTTTAGGGAAAAAGCCTAAAAAAAAAAAGCACATGCAGACTTACTACACATTAACTGATAAAACACAAGTTATAAGATATTTTGCAAATTCAAATTTAGTGACTCCTACATTAAATTATAATAAATATTAAACAGAAGTGATTTATTTGAGTTACATTTTTTATTATTTAATTCCTCTTGAACTTATTTCATCCTATTTCCAACATTTCATAAAAATGTGATTATAAACACTGCATATTTATAGCTTTTTAGTTAAAATATGATTAAGTTTGAAGGAAAAAAGCCCTCTTCTGCATAGCAAAGAGGTGAATATTAGAAGTGGTAGGAGGAATGCGAATTATTAGGCAGGTCTCTATATTCCAAGATCTAAAGGATGATTATAGTTGACCTATATTATTTACATTTAGAAGATTTCACCTGAACTCTATTATTTCTTGTTTGGTTCGAAGATTACTGCTGGTTAAATGTTAAGTCTTCATTGACACATGACCAGTGCTAAACTGTACACCACAACTGTGGTGCCAACAGTTATTCTACCTGATTTTTTTACTTTATTATAAATGCCACCTTTTATCAGTCCGCTTAGCTTCACTAGGAGTGTAAAGGTCTTTTTTGGTAGATTAAACAAATTTTATGGAAATAAATCTGTCTCACTTCCTCATTGTAGTGACCTCAAATGTCTGTTTGGTCCTCTGAAGGTAGTAATGTATTTAAACCAGCTATAAGTCCTGTTGGAACCTGCTTTGCTAAGAGCTTAACTGCTGTAAGGAGCACTTTAAAAAAGGGCCCTGGTAAAAGACCAGGTATCTTGAAGAGCTCCTCTATATGCTCATTCCTTTGCTTATATAACATCAGCTGCACATAACTGGGAGCACGCTGACATGTTTAGAGACAAGTACAGAGCAATAAGATCTATTAGCACAATTTTGAGGCCAGGATCAATACCTGTAGTAAGGAGACATAGTGTAAATATCTTTCACTTACTTTCTGCTGTGTCATATCTGGGTATGCACACAGAGCAAAGCTTTGTGTACAATAAAAATGAGAGGTAGGCTGTTGCAGGGAAAACCGCTCAACTTGTGGGTTAGAACAAATAAGGTTTGGAGCAGCTTAATGGTTTATTAATTGCATGTTATTAACTGTCAGTGAGACAGTCATTCTTGATAGTTAGAGTAGTGTCCACAAAGTGTTGATGAAAACCTACAATTTCCTAATTGGAGGTCATGGTGTTGCTGAGGTGACTTCTGCCAGTGCCAAAGCAGGTTTAGGGATCTGCACTGTTATCCTTTTCTCACTGTAAGATCCCTCACAAATGTTCATGATTCTAACTCCACTTTTTTAGTCAAGCCAAATTCAGCTTTATTCACTGTGTGAAAAGTTAAAGGAAATAATAGTAACTGGACATGTCCAAGCATGACTCAATTCCAGAGAATGACAATAAACCAGGCTGCTGAGCTGTAACTAAGCATGACTCCCAGGGTGTTTCTTTGTAAGAAGGCAGAAGAGTATGGGAATAAGCAGACTGACGAATTGGAAAGCAATAGAAACATTGTATGGAATTAAATCAGAATGGAAGTATTTGCTAAATCATAGTGTCATTGCTCAATGGCAATGAACATCACTCTGGGAAGCAGTCTTCCTGCATTCTTGCCTGATATAGTAACAAACATGACTGACAATTCCTGGAAATGTTCTTTATAGTATTAATTTATGCTTATTTATATAGCCTTTGGTCTCTGCAGTCCAAAAAGCGATATAAATTGCATTGATAGCATAAATAATGAGACTGAACCCACAGTGTTTCAATAACTGGCTGCCTTCTGTTAAATATGCCCCATTACCTATGTGCTCTGCAAATTGAAGGTATTAACTAAAATGGGAAGTTATAAAATAATTTTTTTTTCTTTCATTTAAAGAAAGAAATCTTGAAACTTGCATAAGATCATTTAGTTTCCAAAGAAGGTAGTCTTATACCTCAGCTGCAGAATGACTGGTAGAAAGACTCCAAGGGACATGCTTTGGGTTCAGCAGCCTTTCTGCATATAATCAGTTACAAGATTGGAAGCTTAATTAAATGAGAGATGTAACAGGTTAAGTGAAACACCAGGAGAAAAGAGAAAGACAGCTATAATTGAAATATATGTAATTATCAGTAAAAAGTTTAAGAACATTCTAAATATTTCAACTGTATATTCCTTTGAATAAAGACACGGCTACTGATAAATGGCAATTATTTGTCAAAGAGTGTATTGTTGCAGCAGGTAATTACTGTTAGGTTTTAGCTTGTTCTATACCCAGGATGATTTTGATTACCAAGCCTCTAAAACATTCCCAGTAGAGAGGACTGTCAATACTACTGACGTGTCTCTTGTGCTTTTCTTACTCTTTGCAATTCTCTTAGAAGTAATATGAAGAGACTAGAAAATGTAAGCATGCATACTGAAACATGCTCTGCTTGTCACTTTTCTTCTTTACTCTATAACAAGCATTT